TATCTTATTTAGAATTTTATAATAAAATATTTATTATTAATTATTTAATAATATACAAAATACAGTAATAGAAATAATACATGACGCGCCATCTCGGAGAAATATTTCGAATTATTAATTAGATTAAAAAAAAATCACTCGTTTGGTTGAAAATCAAAATTAAAGTCAAAAGAGGGCGTTAAAACTTCATTATTAGCGCCCTCTCCTAAATTCAATGTTTATTTTAAAAGATTTAATAAAATGTTTATAATTATAATTTCCAATGTGAAATAAATACGCGGAAAGGAATTTAAATATTTAACAAGTTATTAATCCTTAGAGAAGCTGTAAAAAATATTTAAAAAAAAGCTCTATCCATTGAAGGAAGAAAAGCGGTTTTTTTAATGCGAAGGTAGAGCAGAATGACCTTTCAACGATGAATCATGGTTCAAGAAAATACACGTGACTAAAATTCGGAGTAGATTCTTATCAAGAATCTGCTTCAAGATAGAATTAGCTGTATCACGAATCATAATAAACTCTTATTATTTTAAGTATAAGTAATAATTAATGCTACAATTCGGGAATATAACTATTGTTTTCCATTGCTATATAACCGGTATAGAAACATATGTTTACGGCCGCAGCGGGACTTCACAAAATTAATTTTGATTTATTTTATTCTTAAAAATTTTGTTAATAATAGTCTTCGTAACTCATAAATTTATTATTTTCCTTTGGAGTTTTTTGTATTGTTTCATAAAAATATGGTAATTAATAAAAATATCGATACCGGCGGTATTCAAAACGTTATAACTTGCGAATTATAATAGGTGACTTCTAAAACGATTAAGGGTATATTTAGCACATTATCTGCTAACGAATTATCGATTTTGATTTCAAAATTTAAAATCATTACCAGAATATTATTATTTCGTTAAACTAGACTACAAGTAGACCGCACGTGGGAGTACTAATTTTTTCTGAATAAAGTTAGTGTATATGCATAATTATTATTAAAACACATTTTTATTTCATTCATAACGCTATATATAATAACCATTTTTTAATACTATATAAAAATATAGATAATATTTGAATCGCAAAATTATTACAGATAATAAAACACACTTCTTAAAAAAAATTATAAATTTACGTAAATTATAATTATTATTTTAAGTGACATCAAAAATTTTAAATAAAATATATAAAAATTTAAAAAATATATATTGTATTAATTTAAAAAATTGTATTACCTATCTTCACCGCTTGAGGACCGAAATCAAATACGATTCACCTACGTCAGCCGGAAGAGTATACGACAACGGAAAACGTAACACGTCATCGCAAATCAGCCAATAGGGTAAAGGGGGAAATGACGTATTCCGGTTTGTTAGTAAACAGACGAGGGAATGGAGAAATGTAACAAAATTACAAATTATACAAGTTTTTACGGTTTTATAACGCGTTTTTCTTTAATTTAATTAAATAACTACGCCATGTTTAATATAATTCGTGCTTTATATAATCTGTGATCGTTGTTATGTTTCTTGTTGGATACCTTTTAGGCCTAACTGTGCATCATTTGTGAGTTCAACGAAAGGTAAATGTATGAAAAATGTGTCTTTTTAAGTGGACATTTAATGATTTGACAGATCCCCTATTTAAAAAGCCTGAAGTATTTTTCAATGGTAAACTCACATGTACACATTCAAAGACATCAACAAGAACATAAGCTGAAAGGCACAAATAAGACATAAATTATATGCTCTGGTGTTTATGGGATTAACCAGCATACAACTTTCAATGCGCTGTTAACACTACATGCTGTCTACACAGTGTTAGTACTTCATGCGGTTGATGCTCTACATGCCAACTACACAGTGTTGATACACACCGACTACACGCCGCAAGTTGGATGCAGGCTCTACTACACATTCATATGTTAACTATGTATAATAACACATATATATTCAGTTATGCGATAACTGCATAGGTTTACATTCGCATAAATGTTAACTGCATTCATTTGAGAGTTAATCAGTCACACACACATCAGTAGGAAAACATGTTTTATACACAATTGGATAAGTACTATTAGAGAAAATGTATTCACTATTTAAACAAAATTAACTGTGCTCTACTATGAATCTGTTCTAATATATCACAGATGAGTAATTGGAATTCTCTGTTCTTTGTTCTGTGTGATAATTACTCATACTTCTGGTATATTCTATTAATTTTCGAGGGAAAATAGAACATTTCGAAGGAATTATGCAAGCGATATTGTATCAGTTCCTGCTTGATATTTTATAATAGTTTCTGTTTTATATTCAATAAGAATTTCGAATTTACCTGGTTTTAACGTTTAAAATTTTCATTAATTAATCAAAAACGATGAATTTTTGGCATCTTAAAGTCCAAGAGTGTCGTTTATAGCAGTTTGTCACATTATACAAAAGATTATACTTAGATATATTTCAGTTGACTTTTAATCTACCCCATTAAACTAGAATTTTTAAGGAAGAGAATATTAAGAATTTTTGAATTCTGTACCATACACTTATATGCCGTAAACTAAGCTTACGTTGTCACCATTTTGTTCTTTGGAGAAAATCCCCAAATTTACAAAACTAATGCCAAATGAGTATATGGAAAAAAGCCAGAATTTTAATAAATATATAAACTTTAACATGCAATAACTCTCACATAACCTAGAGCATCCCTAAAAAACACAAAACAGAAAGTAGGGCAAGCTTAACGAAAGAAGACCAAGAAACATCCATACAAAAGTCTTTTATTTATATTAAGCAATATAATAAATTAATTATAAAACTTTATACAAGTTAATAAATTATACAACCTAATTTATGCAGTAAGCAAAAAATAAAAAATAAATAAAAATAAGTGTATTTAATTTTTCATTTTTGCAAACAATTCACCTCAGTGTAGTGAAAGATAAACACAGGGGAGAAAGTTTAGAAGAGTGAAAAACACGATAAACAAACAAATTAATACTTTACCAAGCATAAACTGACATTGGGCCATGGCAGAGAAGCAAAATAAGTCAAAGTTTTTCCTATTGGTCAACTAGAACGAAATGTTTTTTTTTCTACCTATTGCTTTATTTATTTATTTTACAACGTACTTTGGGAGCGTTTTATATAGTTTCTAGGCGAATAATAAGAAACTGGTGACGCGTATAAGTTTAATGTACGATAAATGACGATGATGATAGTTTAGTAACGGGCTTGAGGTTGCATGGGAAATGGTACAGGTTGAGTTGGAGTAGCAAAGTTAGAGTTGCGGGCATAGTTACACACGCACACACACACACACACACACAGCCTGTGTATGTGCTGGCTATTGACATAGGACTTATCAATGGACGAGTAACGTTTTTAAACGTAGGCTGTTCAAATGGTAAAGCGTAAAAGAGCTGGTTCGTGCTCCGGACATGATGAAAATCGTTCGGAAGATGGGTAAGAATCTGTAGTTTTTCCGATCGTGGTTTTGTTGGTCGTCGCACTCTCTTCGTCAACCGCCATATTCGCCGAGATAGCACTCGCGTCTTTAATACATTTTTCTCGTTGCTCTTATCCTCTAGCGCTTAAACTGTAAAAATTTCGTTTTATAATCGTCCTCCCCCGTTTAAATTATCGCACGGGACTGTTAAAATCTCTATTCGAACTTTTATTAAATCGTGCTTCCTTTTTAACGTTCTCGTGGCAGCCATCTTTGTTAGTTTTGCAATTGGTCGGCGATCGTTTCGGTTTTTTATTACGTTTAAATCGCCTTTATATACTGTTTTGTAGACGTGTGTGGCTAAGTTTAATCTTTCCGCGTTTTGATCGAACAATTTTCTTTCTAGCATCATGACATCCGATATTCGTGGTAATGATGATGTTAAGGTCAATAGCGAACCCAATCAGGCCGGACAAGAACTGTCTAGCAGTCAGTGTGTGAGTAACACTCGTAGTAGAACTCAGAACAGTACTAGAGTTACGAATATCGTACAGAATACCGATAACAGTAAAGAGGAGAGTGGTATTTCGCCCGACAAGATCAGTAGAAGCTGCACCCTGGGCCAGAGGACTAGCAACAGAATATCAAAGAGACCGAAAAGAGATTCTAGCCCTCCTGCTACGCAAACACAGCTAGCAGCTAAAAAGAATGGTAAGTTTTTACTCGTTTATTCCCTTACTAAAGTATGAATTTAATTAGTTACGTCTCTGCTCTCTAACTTTCTGTCTCCGTCTTAATCCCATGTCCCATCGGTCTAATGCTGAAGTTGCCGGTGTTTGTGGCGTGTGGGCTCCTGTAATGATNCTTATTGCTATAGCAACTAAATGATACATTATTATTATTCAATAAAGAAAAAATTAATTTTAATGATGTGAAATTGTTCTGCATTTAATTTTTAATTGGACGTTTCAAAGATTCGTGTATCGGCGAAGACAAAAATAAATGAGATTCAGATCAAAGATTGTGTAAAATTATTCAAAATTATAGTTGATTTACAGTTGATGTGATTTTAATTTATACTATTTATTGTCTAGTGGTACCAAAAGTATGGCCCTTGTGCCAAATCTGGCTTGGAAACATATTTGATACGTTGCTTATAAATGATAAGATATAAACCGACTTTTAGTATATGTGGAATGTACAAAATATTTGGGCTCATCTCATCGGTCTAATGCTGAAGTTGCCGGTGTTTGTGGCGTGTGGGCTCCTGTAATGATGTTAGAATTGTTGTCTGTGTTTTGCATTCGGACCACTGTCGTAATTTAACTATAGAATCGATATTTGCTTTTGAATCAGTCTAACTAAGTGATTACTTTATGTTTATGAAGGATTTAAGTTGGGTGAATGTCTCTCTTCGTAGAAAGCCATTCTAAATGCAAGTTATTGGTTTGTGTATATAAGTCACATTAATCTGTTGAACGCAATTACCTTTCTTTCTTTGTTTTGTCCCGTCCGGTTGCCAAGGTGATGAAATCTGAGACGATCGTAAACAGTTTTGCATTTTTTATGAAGTCGGTCAAAAATTTTACTGGATTTTACATGTTTTAATACGATCGGAGGTAACGATAATTAATTTTGTTTAACTTTTTATGTGGATGGCCGAATGTTAAATGTACCTTGTCAAATTTTGGATTTTGACTTATCTTATATCGTCGATAAATTATTTATAACAATGATAAATTATTAATGAACCGTTGTATTAGATAAATACTTTGCTCTAAATGATATCGATAGATCCGAAAAGCAGTTAGCTCTTTAAACACATGTGTAAAGGGTTCTAATCAAATTTTTTCAAATTAATTTAAACTTTTCATTATGAAGCTTAAATTAACGAGGACGGGGATATTAATAGAAACCCCAAATTTTTATTTTCTCTCTTTTTTTTTTTTTTTTAAGCACTTTCTTTGTAAGGATGGTTAAGCTAAACTATATATACTATACATATACTTAAACTTTTATATCACCCAATTCTAAGATGAATTTAGAAGATTGATTGAACATATAATTTAGCATATGAACAAAGCTTTAAAAATAGAAAAAATCAATACTAATCATGTAAGTTTTTGATCTTGTTTCTGATGTATTTTTCTTAAAATTATCCACAGATATGTATAAGGAGAATTTAATTAATTTCAACAGATTCTTAATTAAGAATCTACTTAATTGAGTTTGTTGTTAATATATAATTAAAAAATTTTTTAAATTTATTTATTACGCTGTTTGATTCCTACACAAATTCATTAAGATCAGAAGCTTACTTGAGGTAGCTGACCTTTCCTCTCACCTAGTTTTGTATGAGTTACATACAATACTTAAATCCATCCTTGCTCTATAGCTTCTTTGTGTTTCTGAATAATCTATCTTTTTGATGCATCTACATTGATTAAAGTGTATAATCAACTGTAAGAAGTCGGTAATAAATCACTATACTGAAAATCATTGTATAGTCAATTAATATATCTGATATTAATTAATTAAAAAACTTAATTTACATAAATGACAATGCATCAAAACAAATAGGATACACAATAAAAATCATTATCAAACAGCTATATAATATGACTGTTGCACACTTTATTAATTATATATTTGTTTTCAAAAGTTAATTTAATTAGAAAAAAATATACATCCAGAGTGAGACAATGTGTAGTTTTCTAGGAATACCGACTCTCACCATTAAGTCCACGGTGGCCGAACTGCAACTTGCGATATCGCTGTTCTAGACCCTTACTGCTGCTTCCGTATATTTAATTATTATAATTAGATATACATATTAATTATATATACAGTAATAATAGTTTCAATAGAGAATGTGGCTCTCATATTTCTTACGGGTAATATATGGCTCCTGTTGTGACAAGGTTTGCTCGGCCCTGCTTTAAGTAATAGTACGGTGGCCATTTTATTTTGAGTTGACACCGCTGCTTTGTTTTCCAAAATATGTACACTAAGTTACAAAAAAAAAATGCTTTTGAACAATTAAATAATTAAATTTAATAATTTATAGTTAGAGCATAATATATCTCACTATTATTTACATATTCTATCAATAAATTTCTTCTCTATTAAAAAACATTATTTATTAATTTACTAATTTTTATGTTAATATGATATTTATAGTTTCAATTATCAGAAATATAATTATTATAAATTAAATTATTAAATTTTTAAAAGAATTTTACAAAGAATCTCCAGTCTTCAATTGTCATGTTTAGTTTTAAAGATTTCATTAAAAATAATAATTTAATCATGAAAATATTACTGAAACAGTTAAAAGAAAATTTGTAATCTTTCAATGATTATTTACATAATTATTAATTATATATTGTAATAATTATAATTTTAATTGAAATTTTGTAAAAAGTTCATTTAATTAGTTACGTCTCTGCTCTCTAACTTACGTTTTTACGTTATTATGTTATTACGTTAAAATTACGTTAGCTTTAATTAATTCATTTAAAAAATCATAATAATAATAATAGAAATCTTTATATAATTGAATCATTGTTTTAATTATTGAAAAAGTCTTATTGCTATAGCAACTAAATGATACATTATTATTATTCAATAAAGAAAAAATTAATTTTAATGATGTGAAATTGTTCTGCATTTAATTTTTAATTGGACGTTTCAAAGATTCGTGTATCGGCGAAGACAAAAATAAATGAGATTCAGATCACAGATTGTGTAAAATTATTCAAAATTATAGTTGATTTACAGTTGATGTGATTTTAATTTATACTATTTATTATCTAGTGGTACCAAAAGTATGGCCCTTGTGCCAAATCTGGCTTGGAAACATATTTGATACGTTGCTTATAAATGATAAGATATAAACCGACTTTTAGTATATGTGGAATGTACAAAATATTTGGGCTCATCTTACATTTCATGCACAATTTGGCCTGCCAATAGACAGCAACACTAGTCTAATAAAAAGAAATCTTTCAAAGCTTACATTACATGATTTTACATAAATATTTTATTGATTCATTTAGAAGATACAAGAAGATTTAATTATAAGTGTACACATAGTTGAATCATTATGTTTTATTCCTTCTTATTAACTTAAAAATGAAACAAGCCTTTCGCTAAAGATGTTAGGTCACAAATGAGAGCAGTTTTGAAATTTTCTCGGCTTAGAATCTTTCTCTTTTGAATTGAATACATTTGAAAGTAGAAAATTATCTAGATATTAATTGTTTTGATATTTAAATTTCTTTCACTCGAAAGGGATTTGAACTTGATGCATATCTCAAATGTTTACCTGTATTCTAATGTAGAATCTCTTTAATCAATAGATCATTATAATTATATTACAATTATTTCAAGTTTAAATGTATGAAAACTATAATTGATGGGATCTATTTATTGTAAATTCTCATTTCAAATTGTTTATTTTCTCAATTAGATTGAAAATTAATTTTAAAATATTAATTTTTAAATTTAACAGTTGTGTTCCTATCTGTACATTCATTAAATAATTAGAATTTATAAATAAATAAAAGTATTTAACTCAAATAACTTCGCAATCTTTCTTTTATTTATTAACCAGTAAAAGGTCTTGCTTGTTAATAATAATAATGTATTTAAAATTTAGAAATAATCATTATAATGTTATAATATATTATATAATAAAGGTAAAGAGATTTATAGATTTTTTAAAAAATTTATAAATCTCTTTACTTTTATAACTCACCTCCTCGACTCCACGGATATAAAAATTTATAAATCCATATCTGTGAAGTAGAGGTGGCTATTGAAGGCCCAAAGACTGTTAAAAATTTATAAACCTCTGCATTTTTCAAATTTATATATACTTTTATTTTTCAATTTTATTGCGTAAACTAATAAAAGGATTAAAAATATTTACTGTTACAAACATTTCTGTCTGTGTGACAATCATTAGAAATGAAAGAAAATGTTCGTACCAGTAAATGTTTCTAATCCTTTTACTGGTTTTGGGTGTATTTGTGTGTATTTTCATTCCCTACAACCAGTTTTCAAAGCAGTGAATGTATATATTAATATTATATTAACATTTTTACATCTAATTAAGTAAAAGAAAATTTGAATTAAAGACTGTATCATTAAGTAATTAAAATTTTAATATATTACAAATGTATTTTATATTAGATAATTAGATATGGTGATTTATAATATTTAACACTATCTTGTATATCATTATATTTTTATTATATATAATTATATATACGATATTGAAATGTATATAAAAATAATACTTTATTCATAGTTTCAAAACAAACAATTCAACAAGATCAGCTTAAAACAAGAAGAACATGGGAATTGTGGAGTGTTGAAGATAAAAATGCATTTTTTGAAGCTCTCTGTGAAGTAAGTTGTGTTATAATTTACATTATTATTGTTTAAGAATGTAATAGAAATTCTTTCGACTTTAAATTTATCAGTGTGTATAGTTATTGTTAATTTCAATTATGTAACTATCAGAAATCTGTTATGTAATGCAGGTGCATTTTCCTCGAATTGCTATGTCACTTTGATTTATAACTAAAACGATTTTTAAATTTTATATAAAAACCATTTAAATGGTTAGTTAAGAAGACAATACACATTTTAGAAATATTTTCAGTTATATCTGTATTATTTATTCTTTATACAGGATCTTCTAAAATGAATGCTATATCATTTTAAATTATTATTCTTCTCAGATAATAATTATGTTAATTATTATCTGAGAAGAATGCGATGTATACCAACTGATAAAGTAATCTGCATTCAAAAGTCTTGTCTACTATCTCTAGGAAGTGCAATAAATGAAAATGGTAATTTTGCAATGGGGAAGACATTTTGCGTTCTACGGTTCGTAAAGTTGGAATTGCTTGTCACTGTGCAGTGTGAGTAAACCGTAGGAGCTGTAGATTTGTGACTGCTTGGGGGAGTAATAACATATGCTGTAGTGAGTGTAGGAAAAATTTGATTGTCAGTCGGATGTGTGTGACATGAGATGCATTCATTGAAAAATTATAATAGGAAAATGTGAAACTTGGACAGTTTTTTGATTTTTCAATTAATGTACATTGCATTATTCTTGGACAATAATTAATATAATTAAAATATTTTAAAATGATAGAATTCTTTTTCAGAAGACTCGGTATAGTGATTTTTTTAATAAAAATTGTTCAATTGATATGTATTAAATCAATTGAATGTGTCTATTACAATATGAATTTTAAAGGTTTTATATTTACAAAGCATTGTTATATAAAAACTGTATAGAACTGAAAATGTTCTTATAATAAGTGTAAATAATTTTTATTACTATATTTTTAATTTTTACCCAGGCAGTCTGAGCATTNGTATATAATAAATATGTAATGTGTGGAGATAATGTGAAAGCAGTGTCATAATAAAGGTAGTTTACCAAAATTACATTTGTTATGTTTACCAGAATTTGAACTTCTTACAAAAGAAGTTCAAATTCTGCCATAACTGCAATGTGAAGCAGGATTTTCATTTAATAGGTTTGTCACCTGGCAAAAGTGAAAATGGCACTGTCCTTTGAATTGACTCTGTTACACACAACATGTCAATGCATGTTTGACATTACTGAAAAAAATGTACTTGTATTGCTTACAGCTTGTACAAGCACTACAGATACATTTTCAGATAATGTTGCATACCGTATTGACATGTATATGGCAGAGTTAACTCCAAAAACAACCTTCATAGATTTTTCCTTGGGATAAGTAAGCACCAATGCAGTGGAAATGTAGGCTTTTTTCTCTGGACTGTGTTTATAACCACTGGAATATGGCTTCATGATAGACAACATTTCTTCAAATGTGCAATACCAATGCATTGCAATTGTACTTAGGTATCTTTTTGTAACTGTAAACACAAAATTTGTACAGCCATCATATTCAAACTCTGCATACCAAGGACATACTTAATGTGTTGCTCTATGGTCATTACTATTTTCATTTTGTTGCATGACAAAACTATACAATGAAATATCTATCTTACTTTGCCATGTTAGCAAAATTTGAACTACAAACAAGTAATTTGTATACTATGGTACAGCTTTTAAATTATTTTCATTTAAATTCAGTACCCAATATTATTATATAAAACAATTCTTAGACTTTCTTTCATAGTAAAGTAAAGCTATTGCATTAAATTGATAATATATCTTTTTGAAATTTAGGTCTGAGTGAAAAAAATAGACAGCAATTAAATGAGCTTGTTTTTAATGGGTAAGTTATATTTTTTCCAATTTGATTTTTAAGAATAATTCATTTCAAATATATATGCATTATTAGTAAAACAAAATTTATTAATTGGTTTATTAAATTTTAATATTAAAATGATAATGAATATAAAAGCCACTTAATCCGACTCAGCCTCTTATGCAAAATATTAGATACATCCAACACACCTTATTGCTGAGAAACATATATTTATTACATAAAACTAACGTTTTCGGCTCAATTTATGGGCCATCTTCAGGTTTACTGTTGTTCGATTCTAATACACAACCGAACACGTTCAAAATTAAACCAAATTAGAACATGCGTTTAAATTTAACCAATAGAATAAGCATAACCAAACTAAAACAATAAATAAAATACCAAACTAACAGAAAAATGAAAAATGAAAAATAAAAAATAAAATACGGTGTTAAGCCGCAAACAATAAGGAACAATTCCTAATACATTAACCCAGATATCTATTGAGTCACTGTAGACGCATTATTACTCGTGTTACTTCTTACTATATATTTCCAGGATGACGGTAATACCGTCGCATCTTTATAATTTAAACATCTGTCAGCCAAACTCGCTCTGTAAATTTCACATTTCTCAGTTATGGATGACAACGTTGGCGAGCGTACTTTTGTAAGAATTTTGGCATCCTCCCATTTAACAATCGAACCATCCGCTTGCGCCATTTTGGATAATGCTGTTGTACACTTGTTTTTTGCGACATCGTATCGGTGCTCCTTAATCCTCACCCTNGTACAACAGCATTATCCAAAATGGCGCAAGCGGATGGTTCGATTGTTAAATGGGAGGATGCCAAAATTCTTACAAAAGTACGCTCGCCAACGTTGTCATCCATAACTGAGAAATGTGAAATTTACAGAGCGAGTTTGGCTGACAGATGTTTAAATTATAAAGATGCGACGGTATTACCGTCATCCTGGAAATATATAGTAAGAAGTAACACGAGTAATAATGCGTCTACAGTGACTCAATAGATATCTGGGTTAATGTATTAGGAATTGTTCCTTATTGTTTGCGGCTTAACACCGTATTTTATTTTTTATTTTTCATTTTTCATTTTTCTGTTAGTTTGGTATTTTATTTATTGTTTTAGTTTGGTTATGCTTATTCTATTGGTTAAATTTAAACGCATGTTCTAATTTGGTTTAATTTTGAACGTGTTCGGTTGTGTATTAGAATCGAACAACAGTAAACCTGAAGATGGCCCATAAATTGAGCCGAAAACGTTAGTTTTATGTAATAAATATATGTTTCTCAGCAATAAGGTGTGTTGGATGTATCGAATATAAAAGCCCTACTTCAAAAGCATACATCTTAGTTTATGTAATACTTTTTTTTTTTATGAAGTTTTTTTAATGTAAAAATGACTAAATATATGTTTTTGATTAAATATTTTTTGTTTAATTAAATTTTGGTTAAACAAAAAGTATATGTTTATTGTTTAGCTTTATTATGTGCTGAGATTTATTTTATTGGTTTTGTTTTGGTTAATGGTGCCAAGTTTTGTAAACTTTCATTACAAAATTTTAATAGAAAAATAAGTTTTGTTGTAAAAAAAATCAAAATGCTGATTGTATATCTTATATATATAAGAAAATATTAAATATTTTCTTTTAAATCAGAATGATTTTATATTTTCTCTATTATTTTGTTATTTAAGAATTTGGAGATTATAGAATTAAAACATTTATTAGTTGATTATCAGAGTATTAATTAATTATTAATTTCTGTGGGATTGTTTTAATATGAGTGTGTATTGTAATTTTATATAAGACTTCAATCATATTTAATTTGAAAACTTAAGCTTAGCTTTCTGAGTTGTGTTTAAAAATTTGTAAATTGAAAAAAACATGTAGCAACTTAGAATATTATTCATATTAATATAATTTATAATAATAATATGAAAGAAGAGAGATATAAATTTTGCTGCATTTGACTGTTTTAAAAAAAACTGATATAACATGAGTTAAATGGAAGTGAGTTAGTTTCTGTAATATATAAGGAATCTTTTCTGAACTTTGTTTTTATAAAAATAATATAACAGGAATTCAGAATGTATATAAGAGTTTTTTTTATAATATTTCAGTACCAGTTTTTGATAAAAAATGATTTAATATAGACCTAAGAAAATTTTCTATTCTCTTTAATGTTTTTTGTCATGTGAAAGATTAATTTTTTTGTGTGTTTTGTTTACAGAAATCAGTAGAATGCTTCAGTATTGAATTATTCTTAAAATTAAATTTACTCTAACATACCAGGTGATTGTAATTAAAATATCCTATTCAATGTTGTCTAGAAAGATTCTTAGCATCTAAATGCAACCACATCTGATATAATGATATTTTAGGACATGTCTGTAAAAAATATTCGCCACTATAGTACTTTTGTTACTGCAAACATTTTATTTGTATAAGACATTATACAAGTGGATATTGCTCAATGTGGTGTTCATTCTGAAGGTGTGAAATCTGAAAGCAACGAACCGTGTAGTGTTTTCAATGGCTGACTGTAACTGATCTTCTGTTATGCTTCTCACATACAGTGTGATGGTGTCTTCTAATTTGAAACATGTTCATGATAAACTACATTTTAAATATCAACACAACCAAAAAGTTACATTGATTAATATCCAGAGAATGAGGTGGCCAGACAGTAGAAAATGCACATCCAATCATTATGTTATCAGTAAATTGTTGCAGAAATTGCTGCATGGAGCATGCAATATGTGGAAGTGCTACATCTAACATGAAAGTGGTTGTCGCTGTTGCAATTGGAGTATGAGCATATGACAAAAGTGTTCAACATCTCTCAGTATCTTTGGACCATCACAAAACATTTCACTACCCATTGGAACTAGCTTCTTTAAAGAGAATGGTCAAGAATAAATATTTTTGTGAATCCACACCAGATTATAATTTTCAGCAAGTGCAGTGGCCATTATTATTTTTTGTGGCCAAATGGAACAGTTATGGATGTACACTGTTCCATTGAGGTGAAAATGTGCTTTGTCATTCCACAAGATCTTCCACAATACATCCATGTCCATTTGCTAATGTAAAGTTATCAGCAAGAAACTTGTGTCTAATCTTATGAATAGCATTGTACTAACTTTCTCTGTACTTTCTACACTGCTAGAGGCACTACGATCTGCAACATTATTTATTGATTGTTTAACAATCAATAACTGTTCAACAATCAACTGTTGTGGTAATATCTTCAACATCTTTACTTCATATGAAATGATAAGTTTTCATTCTCAACTAGCTGAATTTTCCAGAAATTTTCCAGACAGTCAATTTTGTTGAATCAAATGATCATTTGATTCAACAAAATTTGTGTTGTCTGTGGTTCTTGGCATAAATTCTTACAGTGGTGAAATTCTCGAAGTGCAGCTGAACCAGTATCATTTAGAACAGCCTTACAAGAAATGCATATTCCAGCAAGATGATAAGAATAACATTCAATATTTGTGGCCATTTTTATACCCAGAACTTGGCTGCAACATATGTGCTTATGCAAAATAAACTGATTTTTTATTATTTGTAGTGCCAAAACTGCCATAAAGGTGTGTTTTGATACAAATTCATTTTACAGAAATGTCTTTTCCATGTTCTGAAATGCTACCAAATCAGATTCAGTTGCACTTGAGCTGCTAAATATTATTCCAGAAAGTGTTGAATAGGGTACTTCACATATGATTTACTTGGTATATTAAGGAACAACAAATTTCAGTAAAAAGTTTAATTGAAAACCAAAATATCCTGAATTAATAGTGTTTACTAATAATTTTGTAATTAAATCATGATATGGATTATATTAACCTATGAAAATTTATTTATTTATTAAAATATTTATTATTTGTGAGTAATAATTAATAATATTTAATTAACATTTATTTTTATTATTTTGCAAATTAACATAATAAATATTGTATCCACTTGTTTAATAATTAGAAAAGTTTGAAAATCATTTTTAAAAGTATATTATATAGGCAAAAAATGTATATATTAATATATAATTGTAAATAGACAAAAGTATTATATGCAAAGTTTATAATTATGTAATATAAACGAGTAAACCTTTAAATTATTCATGAATCATATCATATAATCTTTTTATAATTAAGTTATTCAGGACAGTATTTTGATAAATATTTATATTTAGAATATCCATTTATATATTGAATTCAATAAGAAAGAGGGCTTTAGGAATTGTAACTATTCTGAAAATTTTATCTTTAATATAGAAAATAGTTATTATTATTATTAAAATATATGTATTTTAAGAATATATAGACATATTCTTATATATATTTTCTGGCCATGTCACTGACTATTTTTATTTTCAATCCAATAATTGAATAAAAATTAATGAAACAGTTTTTATTGGATTCAAAATTTTTTTTCTCTTTAATATTTAATTTGAAAGTTAATTGTACATTATCATTGAAGAAATAATTTCATTTGAGCATTAAAAACATTTTCTATGAAATATAATTAGTTTAATAGTTTCATCTTAAAGTCAAGACTTCGTTCTTGAATTAATGTCATAAATTTGCTCCTTTGGTTAAAATTTTTGTGATATTTTACTTGAGGTTTAATAAGATTTTTATTAATTTTTGATTTTTAAGCATTTCTATATTACTGAATTTAAATATAATTACCCTAAACAAAGTTATCTAATTTTATTTTGTAATTTCATTAAATAATAGTGTAATGTGGTAATTGTTATGTCTTGGTATTTTATTCTGCTCGAACATTTATTTAAATGTTGATATTACAACACAGAAAATTTTATGTAATGGATATATTTATAACTAATATTGTATATACAAAGAATTATTATGAATTGCATAGATATGGAGTGTATTAGATTAGATGTTTGTCACTCCATATCAAGAATGCAAGCATCTAATCAGATTGTTAGTAACATTGAAAGCATTATAGATTTTCTGAATTAGCATCTAATGG